AAGATGTTAGCTGAGAAGTTAGGTGTGACCAGTTTTAGATCTCAATGTGCTACTGAGCCCTGAAGATGCTCTTCTTTTGTTTACTTGGTACTTTTTATTACTAATGAAAATCTGCTGCTGACCTAATCATTTGGTTTGTAGGTAGTAGTGTTAAGTCTTTGTTTTCTCTTTAAAGAACTGTTGTGTTGTAAATCAGGATTTGTCTTACCATAGCATAGGTGTCTCTTAACATCTTCCAATCTAATTCTTTTGAGTTAACCCTCTCATTGAACATTTACTTGGCCAGGTTTTGCTTGTTTGTTTTTCTCCTGTTTTGATATTCTTGCTTGTGGTTGCTGATGTTACTGAAAAGTTCCTGTCAATTTATCAATTGTCTTTCCTTCTGGGGCAGAAAATTTTTCTTATATGGAGAGTAAGAGGGACTCTGAAAATTAGCTTTTATAGGACTGAGCAAATTCTGTGTCTTGGGATGTCTACTTTTCTTAGTATGTAGTTTTCAGAGTTTATGGAGACCTCCTTGTAGGATAGCTTCACAATTTCCTTTTCCTTGTTTCCCACCTTATATAAGGAGTCGGATTCAGATTCCTTATCTCCCACACCTAGGGTTTGAAGCATCTGTTCCGACACAGTGTAAAAGTTATAGTGCTGGAAATACTTCAGCCAGTGAGGACTGTTAAACAGAAGAGTGTAATGGAACTGAAAGATGATCATCACATAGTAGCATTGTAGCCATTGTTATAATGTACTTGTTACTCATATGTTTGTGATGGTGCTGATATAGACAGACCGATTGTGTTGCTAGTTGTACATAATCCAGGCGTGGGGTGCATAACTATAATCCCAGCACTGTTAGGCAGAGGCAAGATTGCTATAAGTTTGAGGCCATCATGACTTAGTGAATTTTAGGGCATAGTGATTGATACTCAAAACATTAAAACCAAATAGAATGTCAAAATGTGACATGTATAGTTATATATAATACCTAATATTTCATAGTTTGCACTTACTGCCTCTCTTGATATATCAGGAAGCTGTGGACCAGGGAGTTTACACGATGAAATCATCTGTCAATACGTTTCTCAGAATGCAGCCACATTGTCAAATGACCCAAGGGCTAGGTATTAAAAATCTTATCAAGAACCAAAGCAGCTTTCTCTTGTCTTTTTCACTTGAATTTTTAGTCTTTATACTTTTGCCTTGTTAAGCTGTTCAAGAGCCTGACTTTTTTTCTTCTTGTGCATGGCTGTCCACATCTGCTTCTGTGTCAGACCTTGACCTTGTTGGTTTAAAATGGATTCATTGTGTACCTCACATTGCAGGTCCTTTAAGTGAAGTTCAAGGGTTTGATCAAAGAGCTGAGAAGGTTGGATCCTTTAGCAGTCCCCGCTGCACAGCTCCAGGGATTGACCTAAGCAGGGTAGTGAGGGACTGAAGAACCACAGGCACGTAGAGAAAAGCTGGGATCTGGTAGGCCAGTTCTCAGATGTAGAAGCTGCACCACCCTAGAAGCTTGGCATGTTTATTATATATAGTTGACCAGGCTAGCCAGGAGTTATCATGCAGATGTATAAAGAGATGGGTTTAGGTAAAATTGTAGGGGAGGAGTCTGCAGGCTGTAAACATTTTTGGGAGAAGGGAATGAAGGAGGAGCTACAGTGGACATTTTCTATATACACTGTCAGCGTTTGTATTCTACCCAAGGAAGGCTTTGCCATCCCACAGATCCACACTTGGGAAGGCTTTGCCAGTCCCATGGAACTGAGGCATTGTGGTTCTTGATATGGCACTGCCCAAACAATACATATTCATTCACTTAGGATTTCACTTGCTCTCTAAAGTCTCCTATTCACCAACCAGATGGATATTGTGTCATTTCAGTATACTCATAGATTGTATTTATTATAAGCCTGTTTACCTCCTGCTCTATAATGTATCAATAGAATGATGTTTAAGGACTAGACATGACCATGTCTCACCTCTTGTGATCCAATGTGGTGGAATGGTCCCATTATTGGTTATTTTCTGATGTCTGTTTGGGGTTTTGGTGAACATGTTTTTTTGTGTGAAAATCGGCCCTTTGTTCTGTGATACTGACCAGACCCTGGAGCCAGTCTTAGGCATGAGGTTTGGTGTATATATTTCTTTTCTTTCCTGGGTGCAGTAGTCATCAGATTTCTCCTCCACTATATGGTGATGGAATACTGTCCAGTGTTAGGCGATGATTCTGCATGTGTAGATCTTTGTTTTTCTGGCAAGCTCTGTGTTATATATAATCACTGTGACTGCCAGGGTGTCTGATTTTTTTAAGCTCAGGAAAATGCGGCTTACCAGACTTCCTAGCAGCTAACTCTTAGTTATGGTTTGTGGTATTTAATATGAAGCTTGTTTATTAGCTTTGTTTATTGAGGTAGGATCTCTATAGTCCAGGCTATCCTTGAACTCATTATATAGCCTAGGCTGGACTCAAACTCAGTGGCATTTCTGCTCAGCTCCTAAAAGCTAGAGTTACAGGCATTGAGCCATCACATCAGGCTAGGAAGGAACATTATGTTTCTTGAAAGTCCTTTTCAGATGTGGGTAACATGGAAGGGCATTTGCTCTTGTGTGTTGGCTCCTGAGGCTCATTTTTCTTTCTATTGTTTTAGGGACAAACTGTGGGGTGTTTGTGTTTCCATCCTGGCTCTCCTGCCTCGAGTCCTCAGATTGATGCTGCAGGGTCTGCGAGTGAGCAGAGCTTCTCCTGAGGAGCTGCCTGTTGTGGGCCAGCTGCTTCGCCTGCTGCTCCAGCACATTCCCTTGAGGACACACATGCTGACCAATGCCATCCTTGTGCAGCAGATCATCAAGAACATCACGGTAGGCAGCACAGGGCTTTGTCCTCAATGGGGGGTGGACTTGTGGGTACTTTGAGAGAGTAAGGTTTCACCAGCACCTTCCTTGTCTTTGATTCAGAACTAGCCCTTTAAAACTGTAGTCTTAAAAAAAAAAAAAACTCCAAAGATGGGAGCACAAGAAATTCAGTTGGAGATTCAGGGTCTAGAGACACTTTAATGAAGTAACTACGATGGCAGTTCTTCTCAATTTGTCTATAGTCAGGCTTATTTTTCTCTCTTAATGTAGGGTTAATGCAAGTTTTGGTGACTGTTAAGTGAGAATAATCAAGTAATCTGTTTAGTGTACCTGATATTTAGTAAGTGCTACCCAAATATTTGGTATCTTTTTAAGAAAAAGTTTTTTTTTTTTTTTTTTTTTTTTTTTAAAGCTCAGGGATAGTTTCATTAAAGTTTGAGATGAAAACAACTATACAGGCAAGCTGTAAATCTTGGCAGGTCTGTGGAAGAAGGGAAGAAAGTCATACCTTTTAGTTAAGGGTCTGAGAAAGCTGGCGGCTTTAGACTTGAGGCACATATGGCAGAAGGGGTATAAGCTTTGATAGTGTCAGAGGGAGAAGGCCCAGTGTATCAGGCGAGCACACCCAGGCTTTGGCCAGTAACAGAGAAAAGGATGGTGATAGAAGGAAAAGGAGAAAGTGGAGGCCTCACCACTGCCTCCGCACCTGGCTTTTGGGACGGTTGTTTTCTTCTATAGGGAAGAGGTATATAGGTAGTAACTGAGGGTTATTCTTTGAAGGGTAGCTGCAGTTCATTGTCATAGTGCTTTTATAAGCAATGTTAATGGGTACTTGCTTTGACTTATTCTAAGTCTTTGTAGAAGCAGTGGACAGTGGCAGTGAGATAATTCAGAACAGTCGAAGGGAGGAAAAGTCAATAGCTTGAATTAGAGAATCAGCCCACTTCCATAAATGAGAAAGAAAAAGGTTGTTACTTTGTAGGACTAATGTGTTGACATTAGTTAAAAAAAAAAAAAATTTTTTTTTTTTCATGAAAACTAATGCCAACGGGAAGGGATAGAGGGTAGAGATGGTTGGCCATAAAAATTCGTATTAATCTCCATCATGTCCAGGAAGTAACAGATTCAGTATGAACTCATTACACTTAAGGGCACATACTGTTTTTCTTGTCATACTGACCAAATAACAGATCTAATTTAAAAGAAAAGACTTTATTTGATAGTTTAAGAGGGCATAGTCTATTATCATGGGGTAATAAGCACTGTGGCTGGGGTGCATCTCTGGCAGTGGGAGTTTTCTAGATGGGGTTTACATCTCAATGGGTCAGGAGGTAGGGAGCTTAGACCAGAAGTAGGCTCAGAGTGCAAGTTCTTACCTCCCAAAACAGCAATACTAGGTGGGGACCAATTATTCAAACATCTGATCCTTTTTGGGTCATTTCATAATTTTAACCTATACACGACATAAAAGAGGAATTTTCACCAGCTGTAGCAACACCCAATAGTTAATTGTTTTCTGTTTTAAGATGACTTCCTCTGGTTTCTCTTGAGGAGGGGTGTGTGAGTGCATGTACCCCCATGTATCCTGTCTGTCCTGGAACTTGCTCTGTAGATCAGGCTGGCCTCAAACTCACTGAGATCCTTCTGCTTCCCAGTGTTGGGATTAAAGATGTGCACCACCACCATCTGGTGGGGAGATTACTTTTACATAGGCCTGACACATGAAAAATGTGTCAGGTAATACCATTCTCAATTTAAGTTACCTCTCTTTTGTTTGCAGACTTTGAAGAGTGGCAGTGTTCAGGAGCAGTGGCTCACAGACTTGCATTACTGCTTCAGCGCATACATCAGTGGCCATCCCCAGGGGCCGGGTATATTGAATGCATTGTATTGAAGAAGCTCCATGGCGCCTCCTGTTTGAAATTGTTCATGCACATCCATTTTATTTTGAAGAAAGACTGATGTAATAGATGTTTGTCATTAAAGCTAAGCTTTTAAAGAAGTTGTTCATGAGCTACCTTTGTACTGAAGTGGGAAAATAAGGCCTAGATTTCTCGGGGCTCTCATGTTGTTTGTCTACACTAGCACATTTTGAATTTCCTAAGAGCTAGACGTTTACATTACATATAGTGATCTATGGTGCCTTCATTCACTTGTCAACAAATTAGCTGAACCTCTGTGGTCACATCTAGGTAAACCTGTTTTTATAATTTTGAATATGATTTTCTAAACTAAACGTCAAGGTAATTCAGTGAGGTAAACACTTGCTTCATGTGCTTTACTGTTAGCACAAGAGTGGCCTGATGTCAATTGTGCCTCTGTGAAAGCCCATGATCACTTAGACTTTATTTAAGCCAAGTATTCCTAAAGAGTGGATGAGAGACCTGCTTTGGCTCACTGTGAGTTCTGCCCTATGGTTTCTTGATGCTGTGACATTTATTATTGGTGCCACTCAGCAGTGGAGCCCCAGTCAGAGAATGAGTGAGCACGAGGCTGCAGCTTGTAGCCTCCAGGACACTCTAGAAACATAACTAAGGAATCAACAGTGTACTTCAGTCTTCTGGGCACGGATTTGCCATCTTGGTGAGGTTTTCTAGAGTGAAAAAACGAAGCCAGTGCCTGCTAACTGTCAGAAATTCCAACCAGCAGTTCATTTGTGCAGGTGGTGTTAGTTCTCATTTCCAGCCACACTGACTGAGGTGAAGTACACAGCTAGGCAGTCCACATGAGCACAGTCTTCTCCGGCCCTTTCACTGTGCCCTGGGAGGAAATGCTACATCGTCTTTTGAGTTCTACCTCATATTCCGGATAGTAAGGCTTTAGGTACAGACGGTGAAGCTTTGTGAGTAAGGGACAGTTGATACAACGCAGAACTCCACACTGGTTCTGCCTTTCCCCAGGGTCAAAGCTTTGGCTTGTTTTTTGATTGACTGGCTGGTTGCAGGTTGTAAGAAAACTTTTTTGTTCTTCCACTGTTGTCAAGATGTATAGACTGCAAACTGTTCACTGTTAAAAGCAATGGATATTTATATTATTGATCTTAATAAAGAGAGGTATTCTATGTGCTAAGGACTTGGGGTGGGGCTAACCATGGAGCCAAGGAAGGTGATGATGAACCCAGATGCAGCCCACTAGGTCTTCTTCACGTCACTAATATGGGTAGCTCTATAAAGCAGGAACTGGGCTGGGGTTCTAAGTGGGTGGGACATGGTGATACACCAATCCTCTGCATGCCTTTCACATGGTACACATGACATTTATACACATCTTTGAATTCTTGTGCCACATACTTTGTAAATATACCAAAAAAATAGATTTTTGTTTGTTTAAAGACAGATTTGTGGACATGTTTTCTGTTAAACATGAATAGACCAGTTAAACTTTAGCACCTATCTGACTGGCTTTATTAAATGTTTTGTGCTTAATGTGGGTGTGGTTGGGCCTAACAACCTATGTTGCTCCAAGTCTGGGGATAACAAAGATCATGCTTTGTTTGATTTCAAACAAATCAGAAATTTGCAAAACAAACATGTTGCTTGTTATATGAAGTCATTAAAAAGTATTAAGTATTTCTTTGAATGCATTTATTCAATCTTTTCTCCAAGAACCTCTGTGCTGCCAAACATCTTCATTTTTAAGGTAAAAATCCAGTGGTAAATCTGGCTTTGAGGGGAGAATAATCTGATTGCTTACTTTGTATTTAATTATATCTAAATGTCATATATCTGGTAGTTTCATGTGACAGTTCTTACTTTGAAATGTTTCCCCAGTCCAGTATAAGGACAGTCTTGCCACACAACTGTGGCCCTTGATTCCTTTCAAAGTTTCTAACTACCCCACCTGCTACTCCCTGATCAGTCTGCCTTGTGTTACATGAATTAGCCATCTCTTATTAAAGATTGTGCAGTAATTACTCTGCTTTTCCTCACCAAAAACTAAATGAATGCTAAAGTTCATGCTGACAGTCATTGTTCACCTTCCCACCTACTCTCTGTTTCTACAGGATGGCCCTGTGGATCAGGGAGGGTGGGGGGGAGCATGTTGCCATAGCCACCTGTGAAGATAGGCCAGACCTGGCATTAGCTGCTGACAGCCCTGAACTTATCACCCACTCTTAATGCTGGCATGAGGGAAGAGGGCCTGAGTAAAACTCATTTCTGGTCTGGTGAGGGGAAAAGAAGTTCTCTTGCTGCTTCTGTGGGTAGAATTGAGCCTGAGCAGAATGCACTTTAATGTTGTTTGTGGTCTTCCATCTATGTTAAGGGGAGGGCATTGAAAATACAAGCATTCCAACATACTCCTTTGAAGAAAGTATGTGAGGATTGTAATAAAAGGGATCAATAACAGTTACATTAATCATAGTTTTTAGTTGTGAAAATTATTTGCCTCTTAAAGATGTTGATTGCAGTAATCCATGAAAAGGGTAAAAAGACATATACCCAACAAAAGTCAAAGGATCATGGGAAAACTCATCCTGCTCCTCCCATGTGCTCTGCCAGTGTAGTGGCTGCCTTACCTGAATTGAGACACAGAACAGGAGGGCCTTTGGAAGATTTGATGGCATGATGTACTTTCCCTTCTTGAGAGCAACCTGCAATCAACCAACAAATGAATAATGGCTGCTGTGACCTGAGCAAGTGAGTTCATCACTGAGGTGAGCACTTGCAGGTGTCTGCCAAGATAAGTTAGGCAAGCATGGAAAAACAGGTTGAATATGAATATCCTTTATCTGAAAAATACCCCTTATCTGATTTTGGAGCATTTGTTACTAGTTTTGGTATTGTTTGTTTGGTTTGGGGTATATACATGAACCTTTCTGGCTGAGCATCCCTAATCCAAAGTCCAAAAACTGAAATTATTCAAAATCAGAAACCTAATGATCACAGATATGGTAGTCTGGAAATGGACAAATCTTGAAATGCTGTCTAAACTGCAAGGGATGTTCCTAAAGGTACTTGGGCTCTGTGTTTCTTTATTGAGCAGCTATCCAAACTTGGCAAGGATACCTGTACTGCTGATGTACTTTAAGGGCCTTTTGTAGAGCTGGAAATATTTCAGTTTACAGACACTCATCTGTTAATATTACAGTAACTGAGTTGTGGACATTTGCATAGATGACACTTTCAGCATAGAATGGCCAAAGGGACACAGGGCTCGAGGGTCCAGATGGGTTCATGTGAGGGGAGGGCTCAAGCAGAGGTCTGAGGTTTAAGTGGTGAGGCTTTTAGTCTTGGAACTAAGAGGAGGGGCTCTTGGCACTAGAAGTAGGACATTACATTGACTAGAGAAAATTCTGGTACTTGAAAGTAAATTTTTTAAATTTGAGTGGAGAGTTATCCAATTAAGTTTTATTAAACTTATTGCAGAATGCTGTGTGCCACTCAGGAGCCTGTGCCAAAGTACCCAGAAGAATACTTACCATAGATCTGTCTGAGCACAGAGTGCCTGGCTGACTTTGTGGCCGACATGCCTTTGGATAGACTTTTGGGCATTCTGTTGATGGAGATGGACTTTGGGTACTTGAATTCTACTTCTGTTTTCCAGATCTGGAGGAGCAGGGCTGTGCACACTCGGCTACATCTGATCACGTCTCCGGCTCCGAGCTGCTTCATGTGCAGAAGACAAGACAGATGCTTCCTGAGCTGGTAGCTGGTGGGGTCACAGAGGACAGGCTGTAAGACCTTGCAGTGCTGACAGCTACGGGAGTGGAACAAGCTCCAATCCCATCCATGTTGAGAGACTTGGACTAGGAAAACTGGATAAGTCACTTTCAGCAGCTACAGGCAGGTGAGAGGGCCTGAGGTGGAAAGCAGCCTGCACTGTGTGAGGTGACATTCAAGATCCAGGAGCTAGGTGTTTGGGAGGCTTTCCATGGCCGCTTGGTGCTCCACTGGGTTTCAACAGGGGAGTAGATGCCTTCTAGGCAACAGAACTGGCACAAGCAGAAATGGGGCATTTGTGCCCAAAAAATGTGGTCACTTGAGCTTGGTTAGGGAAGGGTAAGGAGACAACAGTGTTATAGTCCAGGCTTGAGTCCTGGGGAGGCACATTTTAGGACATTTGTAATGACTAAGCGTCTTAGCAAGGTGATGTCAAAATCCAGGATTTTGTGGCCTAATCCTGCTGATGGGACCTGCTCTATTCATGATGGATGCACATGGAGGGCTTTAAGAGAATGGCAAGTTACTGTGATTTCCCTGCTGGGAAGCCTGTGGCAGGAATGACGACTGTCTGGAATTCTTTAAAGGAGAGCTTCATTAATGTTTGTTATCTGTGTTATATTAACCATGACTGCTGAACTTACAGAAGACCAGGGAGCCCCATGCCCGTGTGACAATATACCAAAGATGGGGTAACCTTTCTAAGTCTGCTAAAAACCTCCCTGCTGGGCTTGGCTTAGTCCCTTCTTGCTTCCTCAAAAGCTGACTTCAGCCAGCCTTCATGATTCTCCCCAGTGACTAGTACCACATGCTAACAAGCAGTTTCTTCCCGTCCTCTGCTCTGAAGGCAGAGCTCACCAGGAACCCCAGGAGTTGACTAGCGTTGTGCAGCTGATGCTTTCAGTCTGCCTGTGAACACTCAGTCACATGTATGGGATGGCATGCAGACAGGCCGTGTGTGGGAAGGGTCTTGTTTCTAAGGCCGAGGAACAAGTCCCCCTCTCTGATTTTCAGGAACATGCCCCTGCTTGGAGTTAACTGTTGTATTCAATAGTGCTGTTCAACCATAGGCTGTAGGTTCTTCCTGCTGTCTAGCCTGTTTCTAATAAGTCATGTGCTGGAGAAGTGCTAGTAAGTTAGCTCTGTGTGTCATTAAAGATCAAGTGTTTTTACATAGTTGTTTTTCACCATAATTTGTCTACTATACAATTTTAATGTTTAAAATAGTCAGGTGGGTTAGTGAGGGCTTGCCACACAAGCATAAGGACTGCAGATTGGATCCCCAGCACCCATGTAAATGCCAGCAAGTCTAATCAATCCCTGCTCCACAGATAGAGATGGCATTCTCAGAGCAAGCTGGCTAGCTCTAGGTTCACTTAGATGCTAAGGTGGAAAATGATGGAGTAAGGACCACCTCGCTCCATATACATAAACACCACCAAATACTCAACTCTTAATTGTTAATAAAAATTACAATTTTAAGACTTTGGGGGGGTGCTTAAGGTTCCATCTTTTCCCTCCCTCTCTGTGTTTAGCTCTTTGCTGGACATGTTCCCCACAAAGACAGCCAGCATTTCATGAACAAGAGTGTTAAGGCCTGTCCCCTTCCCCTCTTCATTGTTCCTTGGGGTTGGTGCCAGACACCATCCAAGGACAGTGCTTTGGGCTTCTGTAGATAAACAGAGAATAGCTGAAATAATCACTCAGTGTGGCTTCCCATGGGCCCTTTGAGCACTGATGTCCCACCTCAGATCTGCACAATGGTGCAGCCCAATCCGACCTGCATAACTGCCCAGGTGGGTGTGCTCCTGAGGGAATGACTTTGGGCTCATTTACTCTGGACACTTAGTGACAGGACCTGTCAACCTCTGACTCTTCAAAGGAGTTTGAGAATAGACAGACTGAGATGAGACCTTTCTGCTAGGGAGCAGCTGTGGGGCCTAAAGGGTAATCCCCACTGTTTTCAGCAAAGATGCTGAATGCAAAGTTTGCCTGGCTGGTGGCCAGCATGTGTGCGGGCATGATTCCCTAAGTGGCGGAATAGTGGCTGTTCCCACCTGTGACTCGGCATGGGATGGTCACCATAAAGTCAGTCTTTGAACCTTCTAGCTCTGGAGTGTAGGTAAGCCGATGAATCTCCTGTACCTTAGTTTCCCGATTTGTGGGACTAGGTGAGGACAGCTACTTCAGAGTGCTTTGAGGATTTGGCCCAATAAATGCTGACTACTATTGGCAATGGCAGCCACAGCAGTAGCTGGTGTAGAACAGCTACCTGGCATGTAAGTACCATCTGGGCTCCCCTTCTCCAGCCTCAAATCTACCACAAGGCACCTCCATCTACTGCCATTATTAATCATGACGGCAACAAACACGCCAGTCATGGAAGGGAAGGCCCTAGGATGTGGGCCAGCCAGTCAAAGGTTCAAGTGTTACTATAGGCACAAGTCATTTTCTTGAGTGTCTGTGTCTAAGAACATAGAAATCAGGATCCTTGTCTTGACAGCCTCCTTGGGGCAGCTGGAACCACATGAGCTTGAACAGATGGAGAGAGAAATAAGGGCATGTTATTCAAAGGCTGGATGAACACAAACCAGATGACTTGGCTCTGGGTTGTGTAGCCCTTGGTAGGGTGTTCCCAGAGCCTCGAGGTGGGTCACTCTGCTCCCTGCTAGTGCTTTTTTTTTTTTTTTTTTTTTTTTTTTTTTTTCCTAATGGTCTGTGACATAAAGCATCTGGAGTTCCCAGGGACTTACTGTTTGTCACCATTTCCCCAGCATTAGAGGCCATGTAACTCCTGTGCTGTCACCTAGGAAAGGCTTCCCATGGGTAGAGACTGATACAGAGAAACCTGTCCCTACTCTAGCAGTATCCTTCCCTCCACCCCCAGCTTTTAGGCCTCAACTCAGTCTGAGTGTGATGGTGGTTCTAAAAGGTTCATATATTTCAGGCACACTGATCTTGTATATCCAAGTACTCTGCTTTAGATATTTGGAGTATGACTAATTTCTGGGTTAGAGATCAAAAAAAAAAAAAAAAAAAAAAAAAAAAAAAATCTTGTGTGAGGTCAATGAGATGACTGGGCAGGTACAGGCACCTTCCTCCAAGCCCAGTGACCTGTGTTTCATTTCTGGGACCCACATGACAGAAGGAGAGAACTAGTTCCTGCAAGTTGTCCTTTGATACACACACACACACACACACACAGAGTTATATTTTCAAAAAGAGACTCTGGAGCTGGAGAGATGGCTCAGTGTTTAAGAGCACTGACTATTCTAGAGGACTGGGGTTCAATTCCCAGCACCCACATGGCGGCTCACAACTGTTTGTAACTCCAGTTCCAGGGGGCACAATACCCTCACACAGATATACATGTAGGCAAAACACCAATGCACATAAAATAAAAATAAATTAAGAAGTAGAAAAGAGATCCTACACATGGTGCACCAGAGTTCACAAAGCAAGACACTGCTTCATCGTAGCAGCCTCAGGTGCAAGGGTTGATAAATCCCACCTTACAAATGGGAAAACTGTCAGAGCTCCAAGGGAAAACTGGCTGTGTGACAGCCAACCAGAGTGTTTTCTTTACTGCTCTGTCCTAGGTACTTTCCTATTCAGAGGAATCTTCCATTTTACTTAAACCATGTGAGGTGCTGGAAGAGGGAGGTATACATTTCTTGGGAAGGCTCCATTCAGTCATATCCTGAACACAGTACTCACTGGAACACATCTGGTAGCACAGGATGTCATAACAGCAGGATCACAGTAGATTGCAGGCCCCTGCCCTCTTACCTTCGCCAACCTCGCTGGATGATGGCTGCTGCCTTGTTCTTTCTGCGAAATAGCTCTTTCCTACTCCGTTCCCTCTGGATTATCTGCAGGCGCTGCTCTACAGGAAGAAGGTGAATGTTCACAGTCTGTCCAGATGGGGAGCCATGAATTACATCACTCTCTGTAGATACCCGAACGTCCTCACACAGCATCTTGCATCCTGACCTCAACTCTTCTGTGCTGAGTGGCAAATCTGAGGATACCCCTCCTATAAGCTTGTTCTGGGTCACCTTGCTTCTTGGTGTTCGACGGTGGAGAGGGCTCTGTTCAGTACAAGCAACGTCCCCCCTGGCACTGCCAGGCCGGCTGGACCCAGCTGGGGAGCACCTGTCTCTTAGCTGGTGTGTGCACCTTTTCTGGGAAGCACCTCTGGGCCTGGGGGCCCTGTCCTGCCTCCTGCTGGGCTTCCTGGGGCTGTCCTGCTTGGAAGCTCTTGGAGGGCTGGAGTCCTCTCCTTTCTCAGCAGGCTGGGCTGACGACCCAAAGGACAAGGGCTGCCTGGCCCTGCTTGGTCCTTCCTCACACTGGTGCTCGCCATTGTTCTCACCTCTACACTTCTCCACAGAGGATGCTCCCCGATGCCTGGAGCCATCACTGCCTTCACAGGATCTGAGGCGTACACAGGCAGAAGGGCATCTGCAGTGTTCCCTGGGTGTTTCTTGGGTAGACAAAGAAAGTAGAACAGTCAGTGTCTACGACTTTCAGGTGAGGGCAGTTCTAGTCACCTGTTCACATGAGAGATTCAGGCACTTCAGTTAGCATCACAGTAACCATGGCAATGTAACAGGAACACAATAATACAGAACAAAGCTTCTTGACTTTTCTTTCTAGCAATCTGACGGGTTAGGCAGCCAGAAAGCATTCTGTCACTCCTTAGAAGTGCTGATAAGAAAAATTTGGAAGGCAGAATGAAGAGGATGTAAAGAGGACCCACCACTATCCAGCAATGGACCACGTCTGGGGTGGCTTTATTAGATACTTGGTTAGAAAACCTTGCAGGTGGGATGTTAATTGAAGACCCTGCAAGAAACCAGGGGCTACCAAAAGGCTCTAACTTTGGGAAGTACCAATCCACATTAAAGTATGCTCGCCAGCCCCAGGAGATGAAGAACACATGTCTCAACCTAGACTCTCCATGGGTGGAGTCTTTCTGAACCTGAAGCCATTCTGTATTCCATGTGGGTTTGGTATGTATTTCTTAACCATAGGATGCATTAATACACAAATTGGTTTCTGGACAAGGTGTCCCAGGATGTTCCACAAAAGCATATGCAATACTGCTTTTGTGTGACATGTCCTTAACTAAGCATAGACATCTGAAGATGATATCATGGTCTAAAATTATAAAATTGAACAACACTTAACGTACACATGGCATGATTAGGTCTCCCAGAAGTTTGGTAAACACACAAGAATTAAAACATGCAAAAAAGTATGTCTGAAAAAAGTGAACATAACACATAAAACAAAAAACCTATTTTCAATGAAGATAGTAGCAATGTAAACATCAGGAAGAAACTTGCACTTTTGGAGAGGCAGAGCTGACACGTCTCCACTAGGGACGGCTAGAACCAAATGACACCATCCATAGGACGTACTGAGGAGCCAGCAAGGCAGAAATAGAAAGAACCAAGACCCAGGAGACTCTGGTGAGCAGCCTGATGGGGAAGGTATTTAGGGTGATAGATCCCAAGGTCTGACGGTCAGTCTTGCAAGCCTAGAGCCTGCTAGGCTGTTCCTTGGGATTGGGGCCCTGAACAGCCACGTCCAAGGAGATGAGGTGAGCTGGCAGGAGCTCTGGGGATGGGGTCTCAGACGTGCTAGTTCTCTCACCACCAGGCTGTCATTATCTGAGTTTTCAAGTTACTTCCATAGCTGTCATATCAGGGTTTGGTTCTCAGCCAGAAATGTATAGGCTCATGAGTTAAGTCAGCAGGGCGATCACAAGTGTGAAAGAGTACATGAGACCATATGTTATAAACATTATCATGTAGCATATGCATGAGGATATCTATTGTGGTGGTGTGAATGAGAATGGCCCCCATAGGCACATATACTTGAACATTTGGTTCCCAGTTTGGGAAAGGTTAGGAGGTGTGGCCTTGTTGGAGAAGGTATATCACTGAGGGTGGACTCCGAGGTTTCAAAAGACCACAGTATTCCCAGTTAGCTCTCTGTGGCAGAATATTATTTTAAGGTGTGTAACTTTTGCTTATGCTGCATTTGTTTAACTCTGTGAAGCTGTGTTAATGTGCCTGTCTAAAACACCTGATGCTCTAATAAAGAGCTGAATGGCCAATAGCGAGGCAGGGGCAAGGAGAGGCAGGGCTGGCAGGCAGAGAGTATAAATAGAAGACAAAATGAGTTAAAAAAAAAAAAAAAAAAAAAAAAAAAAAAAGAGGAGCAAGAGAACAAGGAGAGGAAGATGTCAGGGGCCAGCTACCCAACCAGCTAGCCAGCCAGCCAGCCAGCCAGCCACCCAGCTGTGGAGTAAGAAGGAAAGAAAAGGGACACAGAAGTAAGAAAGATTAAAAACCCAAGGGAAAAGGTAGACTGGTTAATTTAAGAAAAGCTGTCTAGCAACAAGCCAGCTATACTTAACTAATAATAAGCCTCCATGTGTGATTTATTTAGAGCTGGGTGGTGGGCCCTTCCAAAAATCCAAAAGAGTAAAACATCAAACAACATATCTCTCTGTCTCTCTCTCTCTCCCTGCTCTATCACTATGCCTGCCTGCCATCATGCTGCCCATCTGATGGCTATGGACGCCCTCTGACATGTAAGCTCCAGTAAATTCTTCATACATTGCTTTGGTTGTGGTGTCTACTCATAGCAATAGGAAAGTAACTAAGTAACTAAGACATATATTCAGATAATGTTTCCAGAAACAGGTTTTAAAATAAGAATAATTAAAAAAAATTTTACCCTTATTAAGTAAGTGTGTGTGTGTGTGTGTGTGTGTGTGTGTGTGTGTGTGTGAACTTGCAGAAGTAGTTTTTTCCTTCCACCATGTGGGTTCTGGAGCTTGATCTCAGCCTTGACAGCAAGCACTTTAACCCACTGATCCACCTCACCAGTCATAACTATTCTTAAGTGTAGAAGAATATGCTGCTTGTTATATAAAGTTTTATGTTAAGTGTCTGGGTATGTGTGCATGTACATGCATGTATGTTTCTCCTATATCTATTCACTTGTGCAAAATAAACACAGAAAACACAAACCAGGAATAAAAGAGCATGCTTTCTCATGGTGTGGGGTGGGAAAGGGGCAGAAAAGGCTCCCAGTGGATGGGAACAGCTGCATGCATGCCTGTTGCATTGTGAGGAACATGGGCCACTGGAAGGGTTGGTGGGAACATGCAGCCACAGCACCTGCTGCTCACTGCGGTAGAGTGAAAACAGGACAGCCACTTGAGAGGCAGTGTGGTAGTTTCTTACAAAACCAACACGTGTCCCCCAATGCTGCCCTTCATAGACTAAGCTCCTGGACACCTGCCATCATCACTGCCATCGTGGGGCCTGACACATACTCGGGTGAAGAGACACTCCTATCACATTCTTAGAGGAAGATAGAGCAAATAGGGTGTTTACCCAAATAAGATGAACTCTCTCCACCTCCTGCAAGCAATGCTACTCTTGTAGCATCCCCTATTCTCCATGCTGCCGGCTGCCACCACTGCCTCAGTACTGACCCCACCTGGTCCTTCAGATCTACGCTGCACTTGGGTACAGTCATCTTTTTGATGATTATGACTGCTTCCATTACCACAGCCTACATCTACACAGTGCTATGGAATGTCCTTAATCTACATGGGTGCTCATCACTGTCTACAGAAGACATCATTCCCCCTTGTTATTTTAGATTTACTTTCAAATTTTTAAATTTGAGACTGGATGCTCTTGAACTTTTGGTGATCCTTCTGCCTCAGCTGCTGCTTCTTCTTTTTTTTTTTTTTTTTTTTTTTTTTTTTGTTCTGCAAAGGTCTTTACTGAACTGTTGCTTCCAGGATGAGGGGACCTAGCCACAGGGCCACATCCAGGCATCCTACCCACCTCCCCAACATCTCAGTTTGAATTCAGCATGCTAGATTGTCCATGGCCAGCAGAGGAGGAGGGTAAGCTCCAGCAGTCACTTCTCTAGGGGAGCATAGTTAAGTAGCTTTTCAATCAGGTCCACGTGTGCTAGCAGCATACGGCGGCAGCAGTAGCGCTTCAGGCCCAGAGCATCCAGGGCATCCCCCTGGGTGTATTCGGCCTGCAGCAGACCCAGGTAGGCTTCCCATTTGTTGCCGACGATCTTCCCGCAGGTGAAGCAGCGCACCGGGATGATCATGGCTGCGTCTGGCGTGCAGGCTGCCGGCCCTGCCTCAGCTTCTTAAGTGCTGGGATTATAGAGGTGAACCATCACACTCTACTCTCTTGTGAAGACTATGAGACTTGGAAAAGTCACTAGCCTCATGCTACACCACAACCAGTGAATGGTAGAGTCTGTCAGGGTGCGTGGTTTTTGTTTTTTGTTTTTGTTTTTTGTTAATGTTGTTAACTTGACACAAGCTAGAGTTTTTTGGGGAAGAGGAACCTCAAAATTGCCTTCATCAGAATGCCTGCAGGGAAGTCTATGGAGGAGGACCCAGCCCACTGGAGGCAGGTGGTTCTGGGTGGAATAATAAAGCAGGATGATGACAAAGCAGGCAGTGGTGGCTTGGGAGGCAGAGACAGGTAAATCTCTGAGTTCAAGGCCAGTTTGGTCTACAGTGTGAGTCCCAGTATAGTTAGGACTACACAGAGAAACCCTGTGTAGTCTTAAAAAAAGATAAAACCAAAAGCCAAAAGCAGAAAAGAGAAGGAAGAGAGGGAGGGAAGAAAGAAGGAAGGAAGGAAAGAAAGGAAAGAGAGAAAGAGAAAGAAAGGAGAGAGAGAAAGAAAGGAAAAAAGAAAGGAAGGAAGGCAGATGAGCAAGCCAAACACTGTTTCTCCACAGTGTTTGCTTCCATTCCTGCCTCCAGTTATCTTTCACATGTACAGAACTTGACTTCCCTCCATGATGGACTATAAGGTGCAAGCTAAAATAAACTCTTCCCTCCCTATGTTGCTTTGGACATGATGTTTAAAACAAGAGAAACCCTACTAAGACTTCACATGTATAAGCCCAAGGGCATGCAACCTCAGTGCTGGTCTGTATAGCCAGCATGCTCCACATATATTATTTACCAAACAGCAAGAACTGTTTGAAGGATGTTTGAAGGATGAAGAAAAATCACTTGTTAAGACATGTTGGAGGGTTTTAGTCATAGAGCAAAGGATCACAGCCTATAATTCACACCGCCAGAGAAACTAAGATACAAGGAGGATTCTAAGAGATTCATATAAGGTTCCTCACAGAAGGTGAAAGGAACAAGATCTCCTGAGCATATTGGGAGTGGGGGGGGGGCAGTGAGTGGAGAGGGAGCTAGGAGAAGGAGAAGGGGAGGAGAGGAAAGCACGTGGGACTAGGAAAATTGAGTCGGGAAGAACAGATGAGAGGAAAAAAGAGAGTGAGAGAGAGAGAGAGACCATAAAAGAGGGAGTCATTATAGATAGGTTTGAAGAGAAAACTGACTCTAGAGAAATGTTCAGAGTCCTACAAGACTGACCCCAACTAACAATTTGAGCAACAGTGGAAAGGCTACCATAAATGCCCTTCCCTGATATGAGCTTGATGACTAACTTATCAACCATCATAGAGCCCTCATCTAGTAGCTGATGGAAACAGAAGCAGACACCCACAACTAAACAATGAGCTGAACTGGAATCCAAATGCAGAGAGGAAGGACAAGACCAGGCTGCAGAAACACATAGAGACAGCTGACCTGAACAAGGAGGAGCTAACGGGCCCCCAGACTGATAGCTGGGAATCCAGCATTGGACCTACTTAAACCCCCTGGACATGGGTCTCAGTTAGATGGCCTGGGCAATCTAAGGGACCTCTGACAGTGGAACCAGGATGTATCCCTGGTGCACAAAAGGACTTTGGGAGCATGTTCCCCATGGAGGGATACTCCCTTAACCTAGAGGCAGGAGGGAAGGCCTAGACCCTACTCCAAATGACTTGATAGATTTAGATGACCCCTCCTGGATGGCATCACCTTACATATGGAGTGGGGGGGATGGGATGGGAGGGTGGTCGAGGGACATGGGAGGGACGAAAAGGGGGAGGGAGGGACGGAGAGGGAACTGGGATCAATATGTAAAATAAGAAAATAGAAGGAGAAGGAAGAGGAAGAAGAAGAGGAGGAGGAGGAGAAGAAGAAGAAGAAGAAATAGACAACGACATGTTGGATGTCACCCTTCTTCAAAAGACTCAGGTTCCCAGCCCTTTCTGTTTTGGTTTTGAAAAGATTTATCTTTAATTATTTGTATGTGGGGAAGGTAAGGGTAGGGGATTGATTCAGTGCACATGTATGCAGGTGCTCTAGTAGGCCAGAAAGAGGATCAGGTCCTCCAGAATTGTAAGCCCCCCTCTTCAATGTGGCTGCCAGGAACCTGAATTCTGTTCCTTTGCAGCCATCTCTCTAACCCCTGTGGCCTTTCTGAGGAGGCCCTGCTTGGTGCCCTGCAAAGACACTTAAGTTCTTCCATTCCCTTCTGTGAGGTTGGGCAGTGAAGAATGGAGGCAGCCGGTACTTCCCACCCAAGGTTCTTTCTGGGTGCTCCCATCTCTAGGTGTGCACTGCTCACTCCCTGGTCAGATAAGTAGATCCAACTCTTTTCACTGTGGCTAAACATAAGGTGAGCTGTAGCGTCTCTTGTCCAGTGATGCTGGGCTTCCTGATAACCCCATGAAAATAGCATCTACTTTCCCCCCTTTGTATTGTGGCCTCTTGAGATCAAAATTGTGAAATGAGAGCTCCATTTGCTTCTAGCACAACCAGCCTCATTAGCCTCCTGTCCTTCAGCTTTGGGAGGGGGCAACATCAGATGCTGGCTGTTTGAGATCCTGTTTGCATATCTGAATCTCATTCTTCACAAAAGCTCCCCCTTAGGGGCATCACTTCCTATTTTCAAATAAGCAAGAATTCCCTTATCTCAGAATTGCTCCAGAACAGAAACTTTCAGACTTGTTTGACAATGGCCTATACATGAAGTAACTGTGGCCCAATGTATATCCTTATGCACATGTATTCATGTATAACAGGCAATGCTTTTTTATTTGTCTGTCATCTGTTTGTTTGTTTGTTTTCATTTTTTAATTTTTTTCCGAGGCAGGTTTTTTCTGTAGCTTGGAACCTATCCCAGCACTTGCTCCGTAGACCAGGTTGGCCTGAAACTCACAGAGATTCACTTGCCTTTGCCTCCCGAGGTGCTGGGATTAAAGGTGTGCACCAACAGTGCCCAGCTGCAATGTTCTTTTTAGCTACATTTTTATCTCTCTCTCTCTCTCTCTCTCTCTCTCTCTCTCTCTCTCTCTCTCTCTGTGTGTGTGTGTGTGTGTGTGTGTGTGTATGTGTGTGTAACTTTCCCCAAAGAGAATTTTTGGAAGTTAAGTATGCATCTGGTTTCCTCTGGGACTGTGCATGGAGAAATTTTCCCTTTGGTGATTTTACTGTGGGTATTGTAACAGTATATCACAACTCTTGAGTACAACTACACTCCTGGATCTGTGTATTTCTCCCAGCAACTGACCACATCACAGAGTCTTGGGACTCTTGATACCAGATGAACTACAAATCAGAAACCCACAACAAGGCATCAAACTGTGAAAAACTAAAGATAATCAGAGCATCTTTAAAACAGAGGAATAGCATGCTATCCTAGAGTATTCAAGAGGAAGACCAATGTGTATGGTAACAGCTTTCTCATTTCAAAACAAGCAGTCCAGAAGGAAGTGATGTGATATGATAAACAGAAATGCCAAGCATGGGGTCTAGATCCAGCTCCTTGGGAATGTGATAACAACAAACTCAGAATAAGGGAAAATGCCAAGACTGTGTTGCTGGTAGACCTTAAAGATTAGGTAGAGAAAGCTCTTCAACCAGAAAGAAAGTAACAGGAATAGGAAACTCAGAGCAACAGGAAGAAGGGTAACAAAAGGAGGACAAAAATAGCTGGGAAGTTGTGGTGCATGCCTTTAGTCCCAGCATTCAGAAGGCAGAGGCAGGTGGATCTCTGTCTGGTCTACAGACCAAGTTCCAGAACAGCCAGGGCTGTTACACTGAGAAACCCTGTCTCAAAAATCCAGAAAAAAAAAAAAAAAAAAAAAGACAGAAATAGATGCATCTCAATTAGCCTTTCTTCATGAGTTTTATAAATTATACTTGATGACTGAAATGAAAGCGGTAACAGCTGATCTTCAGCAATGATTTTTACTTTTTTAAGTTAAGTGTGTGTGTATGCGTGTGGGGTGTATACAAATGTGAGTGCAAGTGCACACAGAGTACAGAAGACAGAGCCAGATCTTCTGGAGTTGGAGTTACAGGTGATTCTAAGCAACCGGATGTGGGTGACCTCAACAATGATATTTAAAAGTACTGCAGCTACCTAAGTGAAAGAGTTTTAGCATTTCACTCAGTGGTAACTTAGACAGAAGCAAGTTACATATGTAATACCCAGAGTGTCAAAAACTAGACAAAGAAATATACTCAATACACTACAAATCAGTTAAGATTGATTCCTAGAAGTGATCTAGTAAACTACAGCAAGGCAAGAAAAGACACAGAAGACCGAGAGACAGAATAAGGAGTACAGACTGCACTATGGCAGGCCTCAGACAGCATAGGCCACACTTACCATTGGGCTTCCTGGAGGCTGCTCCCTGATGGTCTGAGGAGCAATCCCTGTGGGAGGCTCTGCCTGGACACCGGCCTGGAGACCTGCTGTGCTCTGGGTCAGGGCTCTGGACTGTATGGCCAGCAGGTGGCTGTTTGCCAGAGGCTGCACTCTGCTCAATGGGCTCATTCCGGGGGCTGGGTGGACAGGGGAGAAGGTGGAGTCTGGGGGAATCTGTGGTCAGCTGTCCTTTTTGCTGTTCGGCTTCCTTCCGCTTGTTTTCCTCCTCCCGCTTTCTGGAACCAGAGCCAAAGGAGAGAAAAAAGTCAAAATGGTCTCACTTGCTTGAGGACCCTCAAGATGGACGGGAATGTTGAGAGAGAGGAGCTACCACACCATAGGACAGACACGGAAATGCACACTTTCTAAGGTGGGATTCTTCTCAAGTGTAAAACCAACCACCTCCCTGTACCAGGCCTTATAGAATGCAGCCTAAAACCATCACACAGATCAGTCTGCATTGCTGAGATGTAGACGGACTCACCAGGCACTGGACTGTGTAATTACCCATCTTGTTCTCCCTGGAGCTAACCAAAACTCCACCTCTTTCTCCCCTGTTCCAGACAGCACAGCAGAATGTCACTTAGGACCACAGTCACAGGGATTGCCTAGAATTGGCTCTGCTTGTTGTACAAAAAAAAAAAAAAAAAAAAAAAAAAAAAAAAAAAAGAGACCACCACAAATGGAAATTATGACATGGAAAAGTTACTTGCAGACAACTTCACAGCTCCAGCCAAGGACTCAACGAAACCCTTTGCAAGTGGGGCCCTTGTGATATCTTCAAAAGCCAGACACTAGCAGTGGCACTGGGGGCTCAGCTTGGCCTTTGAGCAACAGTACAAAAGAAGCTTGGCAGCCAAGGCCAGGTCTACAGACCAGCAACAAGGAAAGACAAGCCAGTCCTCAGTCTCCCGGAGAGCTGGCTCAGGCTAGAAATGGGGAGGGGCTAAGTGTAGGGTAAAAGCACCAGTCAGAGAGACCCACTTTGGCCCTCACACCAGAGCCAGTGCTACCTGTGACCAACTGAAACATGAAACCAACCAATCTCTGAGCAGAAAAATCTCTCCCAGGGAAAACTCCACCCCAAGAAGCCCCTATCTAAGCCCCTCTGCCTGTTTAGTTGCTGGCTGTCCTTTTCCACCCTGGCAGAGGCAGCCACTCTCCTGGACTCCTCCTTCCCAAATAAATCTCTTTTTCAAAAGAGTCTTGGGTAAAGACCTTCATTTGCCAGTGCAGGATAGAAGAACTTTTTGGGATGTTCCCTTAGGGGACTAAGCAGGGCTGTAGCAGAGAAAAGTAAGAACTTTTCCTTAGAGCTGGAGGAGATTGCTACATTTTTGCAGGGGCTTCCCCTTTAGCAGACTATAGCTGAAGAAGTAACATCTTGGGCCGAGGAAGTGGGTAGGACATTCCATTCCCTTGGGTGAATAGAGCAGAGCTCAGCTATTGTGGCTCTCTCCAGAAGAGAGGAGCAGGATTTCTATACCCTGCAGGGAGACCATTCCCACCACACCCCAGTCCCAGGTAGCCCAGCTTCAGGAAAAGTCAGGGTACCTTTCTCTCCAGGGCTGAACTGTCCTGTTGCAGCTCCAGCTTCCAGAGCTGTTCTAGGTAGCCAAGCTTCCTGATAAGTCAGGACATCTTTGTAGCCCAGAGTTATAATATTCACTCTTACACTCGCTTACATTTTGGTGCTGAAACCTGGCACTTCCACTCACTTCCACTAAGAATAGGATCTATTTGAACAGTGCCACCAATTGAAGGGATTCTATGGAAAGAGGAAGAAAGACCCTAACATTTCCTGAGTCTCTCCTCTACTGTGCACTGAGGACACAGAATGAAGACTGCAGACTGAAATGGGAAAAATTAATAAAAGTCTAAAAACGTAGACTTCAAAGCCCATGTAGGAAAAAGAAAACTTTCAAGCTCCTCAGGCTCCCAAAGGCAGCCCAGCAGATAAGACTAAACAGAGGACTGGGTACGTGACTAGAGGCCTAAGACCAGATAACACATCCCAGCTGTGTCAACATTTCTCGGTCCTAAAGACCAGATAGCCATCAACTCCTGGTTGTAAAAATCCCTAGCCCAGGAGATAATTAATAAACTTATTTCCCCTACAATATTCTTCTCAATTGTATCCTGCTGAAACATGTAGTTACTGTTTTGTCCTATGTAACCATGGAAGCTTTGTAATTTCAGATTTTCAGTCTTGTGGACTTTCCCTTTACCCTCCCCCCACCCCTTAGCTGTACGCCATATTCTGCTTGCTCCTGAGCAAGAATCCTTGTTGCTGCTTGCTAATAAAGAAATCTTTGTTTTTACAGTGAGTGGCCTCCTTGGTGGTGGTCTTTTTGGGGTCCCACGAACTGGGCATAACACAGACCTCAGGTCTACCCTGGGGAATATCTACCCAGAAGGGGACAGCTAGGAAAAGAGAAACCTAGCCTACCATGGAAGAGATATTACAGTAGTGTGCCTGCACAAAAGTGGTGAATTTTGTGCGGAGGAATCTTTAGTCCTAGCTTCTAGTGCTAAAATATGCAGGTGCCTGGTGGGCAGAGATGGAGGGAGGAGCCTGGCCTGGTGTGCTGGGCTGACACTGGAGTGTATTGGCTTCCAGGTGACACTGCTTCTCACACTCAAGGAGAGAATCTGGTCACTAATAGAGTCCACTAAGAGTAGAGTGAGATGAGGGAGTGGTGGAGAGAAGCCATGCTGGGAAGTTTGGAGGATGTCTGTGCCTGCTCTGCCAGCAAATGGACATAGCTGAGCTGCTCACCTGTCAGGGACTAGCCAGCTCTGCCCCTGTGTGAGAGCTCAGAACCCCTGATCTGATGCAGGGGTACTGCAGTTAAATAAGGATCAGGATAAACAAATAGGCCGGATAGATGTTTATTCAGGGAGAAATAACTTACAACCTAGACAGAGGAACACCAGCAAGTTCCACCGGATGCTCTCTTCTCCACAACCCGCCAGCAATAGTGTTCCCCCGCTCCTCCTCAGACCTCCTTCCACAGGTCACTTCCGACCCTGGCTCCACCCCACAATGGGCGTGGTCAGTGCCACAGAAGGAGATAAAGTGAATATCCCACTACACAGGGGTGCTCAGAGACTTGGGGTCTTTACAGCCTTTGAAAATTATGTTATTGAGATGGAAAGCTGACTTACTGCATTATCTGAGGTTAGAGTCTTTCTTCAGGGGCTGGAGAGATATATCAGAGGTTAAGAGCAGTGGCTGTTCTTCTAGAGGACCAGGGTTCAATTCCCAGCACCCACATGGTAGCTCACAACTGTCTGTCACTCTGGTCTTAGGGGATCTGAGACCTTCTATAACAATGCAAATAAAATAAAGTTAAATAAATAATTAAAAAAGAATCCTTCTTCAGGGGAAGCTGGAGGGTAGGATTGAGGGCTGATAGAGAAGCCTAGATGGTGGCCAGCCCTGGGGCTTTGGAGAAAAGGACTGCCTCCTGAGGCAGGTCTGCTGGAGTCTCCTCACAGGAAGAGCTGAACTAACACAAGAGAAGGATGCGGAGAGCAAGGTCTGAGGATCTATGCAGAGCAAGAGGCAGCTCCCCATAGGAAGCACAGCAAAGGACTCAAGTCCTTGCTCCTCGAGCATTAATCGGCCAAATCCCTGGGATCTTGTGAGTTACATGTTTTGATGAACTTGGATGAACTTCTTACACAATGCTTGCTGCTTCTCTGGCCTGCTCTGCAGCAAGAAGGAGAACCTGGTGGTCATGGTAGACTGTGGGAAGGAGAGGTGTCTCTGTGATGTCACCTTTACATGGTTTACTACACTAGTGCACACTCTTTCACAAGCAACCTGGCAGTCCACAGGTCCAAGACACCAAACATGAAGGCCAGTCAGAGCTCCCAAGCAGAGAGTTCAGACTTCCCCTTATTAGATTTAGAGTGAAGCTTATTCAGATTTCAAGGGACAGGGAAGACCTAGCTGACAGATGATTTTAAACCATGTCAACCTTGCTAGGGTCCTTCTGTGTGGGAAGCCTCTATTCGGGAGTCCACTGAATCTCATTACAGAGAACATGGCCAGGTACTTTGGGATAAGTCTTGTTTTGATGGACTCTGGTTTTGCTACACTTCTGCCAACTGTTGACACTTGAATGTGCTGTCCTGGTGCTGTAGACTAGCAGGGTAAGTGTCATAATCGAGGGCTGGGATCCACATAGATGCTAGTAAATGCCACTCAAGGTGACTGACAGGTGCTATGGAGAGTTGGGACATTTCAGGAGAAGGTGAGTTTTGCTAAATGACCTAGGCAGGGAGAGGGAACCTCACTCTTCATATACTGCAGAGTGGCTTTAAGGAAGTGGTGCTGGCCCTTTCCATAGACACACAAGTGAGGCTGTCTGGGTTGGCATCCCATGGATCTCCATGACAATTAGAGGGGCTCACAGGTGATAAATGAGAGTTTATCATTTGAGCAGTCATTTCTTCCTTTTAAGAAACCAAACATCTCTAGTTAATTCAAAAAGACACTATGCAGCTAGGGAACAAGTTCTGTTACCACAGACCTTCCTGGGCCTCTAACAAGGTCAGTCACATGACAAATGGCAGGTTGCCTAACAAAGTGATGAAGATGTATAATCATCAAGCAGGCTGTTTTCTGGGGACTTCTTTGGAGAAGAGACAGTATTTTGTTTTTATTTTTGTAGAACTAAATATTTAGAAGGAGAAGAAATGATGTATTCATGAGGGTATGTAACTCAGTCTTAGGTGCAAGAACATGAAATTTTATGAAATAATGCATTTTTTTAAAATTAAAACTTCCAGGTGTCACGGATAACATTGAATCCTTATTCTCCTCAGTCAGTCCCCTTGGATCTGGCAGGGCTAAGATGTGTCAGCATCTTGGATCTAAAAGGGGAAGAAATCATAATCCCATTTTTCTAACCCATTACAGAGCTGAGTCTTGTTGCTCTTTAAACCTGTCACAGGCTGAGTTGCATTGATTAGTATGCAGGGGCTGGAAAACCAGATGTACAAATATGTAAGTGCTACAGCATGCCGTGAAGATAAGTGGCATGTAACCGCATATGCTGCCTTGAGTAGGACAAGCGAGTTAAAGTATTACACTTCAGAGTCACAGACTGGAATGGAGAATGTCCAAGAGTGTGTGCTCTGTGATGGTTCATCTGGACGGTCAGCTTGGGTGTATTAAAAGATGACCTATACCAGGAAAGCACACCTTTGAGTATGTCTGTGATGC